GACTGACAGACTGCCAACGCAGATGGACAGTTTGAAATTTCCTGCTTTGCTGAGAAGTGTTCCAGACACATTGTGGCCTATGGGCTGAAGATGGATGTCCCAACGTTACAGAGGAACTTCGGGTGACTGTCCAGGCAGTAAGATGTCTCTGTCAATCCTAGTGTTTATATATTATCCTTCTGTGGTCTTTGATGGAGTTGAAGACAGATAGTTATAATTATAGTTTTCCTTAGTTATGATAAGAAATAAGCTACATATAGAACTTTGGACTCACAGGAATGAGATAGATGATATTTTCTTTAAATTTTGCTAAAATATTGTAACTATGTTCTTATTTGATAACTGTTCTGTTATATACAATTTGACTGTGTTAAAGTTAAGACCTTTCTTTTTGTTTAAACAGAAAAGAGGAGATGTTGGGGAAGTCCTGTGCATTTGTCAATAAAGTACTGTTGAGCCTTTAGGAAACCTAGATAGGAGGGACTAGGAGTCCAGGAGAACTCTGGGAAGGAGAAAGACAAGAGAGTCAACATGTAACCGCCATGGGGGTAGGAGCCCAGAACTATTCTCCGGTAAGAGACATACTTAGATTAACAATTATGGGGTAATTACCTAAAGCAGAGCTAGCCAGTAAGAGACAAGCAAGGCCAACAGCTTCATAATGAATATAGCCTCTCGTGTGTTTATTTGGGATTGAAGCGGCTCTGGAACCAGGCTGGCGGGAAGGCTTCTCTCAAGGAAAGCTTCTCTTAACAAACTCAGTTTCTATTCGCATCTGCTCTTTGGATGGGTGTAAAATAAGCCTAGTTCCACTACCGAGACTCAGGAGCCAGGATGCAGAGGGCACAGCGTCTAGCTAAGGAGGCTCTATTTCAGTTACTGGCACAGCTGCCTTGCCTGAGTGCGCATAACTCCTGTAGGGTTTGTTTATTTGAACTCCAAGTTTTCACTCACTAGTTCAAGGTGGACCCAGAATCCCTCTGGTTGAAGCAGATGCCCCAGGAGATGGGGAAGTAGGGTGTCTACTGCTAGAGATAAAAAAGAAAATCTCAGGAATTGAAAGAGGACAGAGTTCTTGGACTCTCTTAATAAGTACTTATGATGAATAAAGACCATCAATTATTATTGTTATTTTCTTTTTTAAGCCCTGACTGTCCTGGAACTCCCTGTGTAGACCAGGCTGTCCTAGAACACACAGATATCTGCCTGTGAGTTCACTACCAGCCTGGTCTACCGAGCAAGTTCCAGGACAGGCCCCAAATCAATACAGAGAAACCCTGTCTCAAAAAACCAAAAAAAATTTTTTAACCAAATCCAAAATCTATATAATATATAATTCAGTGAATTTCTACATATTGAGACTCATTTAGAATGCCTCTGTTGAGATTCACATTAAATTGTACACTTTAGGTAGTGAATATATTTTATGCATTTATCTACTAGCAAAAACAAAACAAAATCCATGACAGAATTAGAACTAATAAAAGCAATTAGATTTATACTATCTTTCATAACTTATGTCCATCACTTGCATCCAGTCCTCCCCCAATTATTCTTAGTATTCCAAGAATATGTGGCCTACTTAGGATTCTTTGGCCATGAGGATATTAATATTGGTCTGCTGGCATTAAATCATCAAACACATGGTTTAAGATGCCAGGGTGGGAATCCTGGGTCCTGTCCCTTCATTATTTCAACATTCAAAAAAAGAATTTTTTTCTTTTTTTTTTTTAAGCTCAGAGCTGATTTTATCTACTGTATGCTTAAGCCTTGTCAACAGACTGGGGGTGGGGGGCTCATTTACAGCCCCATGAACATACAGAGCCTGATGTATGAAGGAGCCTAGGTCTGTTTCATCTTGGCGGAGGAAGCTATCACTTCAGCCAGTAGCCACTGAAGGTCTAGGATATGCCCAGCCTCCCTCGGGTCTCAGGGTAGAAACAGAACCGACCAGAGCCCCTGGTCCCCAAGAACTGAGGTTTATGAAGAGCAGACACCATACATACAGAGAGCTCAGCAAGTGTCACCAATGCTCTGATGGATAGAAGCTACATGAGGGAGCAGACTCAGGCAGAGACAACTGCATTGCTACAGCCCAGAGGAACATGCAGTCTTCCAGCCTAGGAGATGAAAGAGAAAAGGGGTTCCAGGAAAGAATCCAGCAAAGGCAACCTGGGTATTTTTGCTCTTTCTCATTTCGTTCATAATAAACCAACAAACGAAAATGTATATACTCAAGATACACAGTGTGACGTATGTACACATTATGTACTAATTATCAGCAGTTGATGAACACCCCCACCCCCACAGTTAACATGTGTGTACAGGCCGTCTTTTGATGTTGTGTGGTAGTATAGGGACTACAAGGCAGTTCCTGATGCAGAACCCCAAGTAAGAGACAAGATGGAGCTAAATACAGTGTCAGGAATTGGCGTGGGGGTGGGGAGACATATGTTGGGCAAAGGATTATCTTTCCCACTTAAACAGTAGGAAGGCCTGATACATAAACTGTAATACAATCGGTACTCCTCGGGCCCGTGGAGGGGCAACAGCTGGGAATAGTTTCCACCCTGAGCCCCCAGCAGGTGCAGTTCTCAGGGACTGTGTTCAGGCAGCAGAGATAGGAGAGGGTGGTGGGGCCCCAAGTCCCCTGCCCCAGGCCCACCTCTTGCAGCTGCTCTGTGCCATCAAACCCCCTGGAAAGCCTCCTCCCTTGTTCCCTTGATAGTAAGATGATGACAGCCTGTTTTAAAAGCTAGACTCCCACAGAAGCTAACAAAGCCGCGTGGCAAGGAACAATGATCTAACAGTCTGCTTTTTAAAGCCCATCATACTATGATAAAGGCGATTACTTAATCCTTCCAAGGACCTATTAGAGGGCTTTCTTATCTCTACCTGAACACAGAAGGCTGGGTAACTTGTACAAGGTCAGAGAGTCAATAAAATGCAGAACAAAGAGTAGAAACCAGTTTGTGCCCTTTGGACCTAAAAACTGCAGTCTGGGTCCCCTGCAACCAGCACAAACCATGAAGTGGATTTCAAAAGTGGAAGATCTATGCTGCACAAGGAGTCTGGAAGCCAAAGCCTTCTAAAAATGCGTTTAGATTTTTATCTCTCTAGTGTATGTGGGTGCCTGCATGCTACAGACACAGGGAGAGAGGAGGTTGGTTTCCTCCACCATGTTTACGGGGGTCTGGGAACTGAACTACAGTTGTCAGATTTGGTACCAAGCACCCTTACCTACTGAGTTGTGTCTTAGCCCCTAAAACAATTATTTATTTTTTCTCGTTCAGGTGCCCTGAACTGTTTAGTCTGTCTCACTAATCCAGAAGAGCGCACACCTGCAAGACAGAGTCAAGACACTTTCTCTGCTGTGCTGTCTTCACAAGAAATTTAAAACAAACCAAAAGTGTAGCTTATTTTTAAACATGTATCTATAAAGCCAGCTAACAGCTGTTTCTTGTTCCAACCCCTTCACACAAGCGTCAAATCAGTATGAATGACTCCCACTGTCCTTGGAATTGCCTGAGCTAAAATTTATGTTTCTCTTTAAATTCATGCTCGACTGTACTCTAAATTTTGCTTATCCAGTTGCCTCAATCTCCTTCCTGCCCTCCCTTGCCTCTCGTTCCTCAGCTCGGGCCCCACACCATCCATGTGTCGCACGCTGGATTTTTCTTTCCCTCTTGAGACAGGGCCTCATTATGCAGCCCAGGCTGGCTTGGAATTCAATCATCTTGCCTGAATCTCCCCAGTGCAGGGATTACAAGTCTACACCACATCTGGCTGGAAATGTAACATTTTGACAGCTAACCTTCTCTATTGTTCCCAGTTCCGTCTCAGGATGTGACCTAACGACATTGGTGCCTCAGGTCCTGGGCAGGAACTACTCCATACAAAAGAGTGTGCACCCCACAGCCAAGTAAACTAACTCCTCAAAATCACAAGAGCCATTGTTTAACTGAAAGGATACATGTATAACATTTGTCTTGTTTTCCCAGACAGGGTTTCTTTGTGTAGCTCTGGCTGTCCTGTAACTCACTCTGTAGACCAGGCTGGTCTTATCCACTTGCCTCTGCATCCCAAGTGCTGGGATTAAAGGCATGCACTACCACCCCCTGGCTCAAATTCCTGATTTTTAAAAAGTTTATCTTTATATGTATGTTTTATCTACATGTATGCACCATGTGTGCATATACCATGTGTGTCTGATGCCTTCAGAGGTCAAAAGAAGGCACTGGATTCCTTGGACCTGCAGCTAGGGATGGTGGTAAGGCACTATGTAGGTACTAGGAACCTAGCCCAGGTCCTAAGCAAGAGCAACTGCTTTCAACCATCTCTCTCATCCCGATTCTTGTTTTTCTTTTTCTTTTTCTGCTTTTCGAGACAGGGTTTCTCTGTGTCTTGGAACTAGCTCTTGTAGACCAGGCTGGTCTTGAACTCACAGAGATCTGCCTGCCTCTGCCTCCATAGTACTGGGAACAAAGGTGTGTGCCACCACTGCCCAGCTCATCCCAATTCTTAATTTTGGGGCTGGAGAGATGGTTCAGTGGTAAAGAGTACTGACTGCTCTCCCAAAGGACCCTGGTTCAATTCCCAGCGTGAGCGCGCACACACATGCGCGCGCGTGCACACACACACACACACACATGATGCTTCACAACTGACACACTTGCGTAGATGACACACGTGCAAGCTAAACACCAATGCCCCACTGAGTAGAGCATCCTGTTTTTCTCATTGGCTTTGGCTGATGCTACTATGAACACAGGGAGAAGTAGTCCCGGGAGACCGGACTTTGGTCTCTGCAGGTAGATATGCACAAGTGGAATGCTGGCTCACAGGGACAATTTTAAATTTCCTGGGTTTTCTCATTGTCAGGTGCTCTAGACACACAGGCTTGGTCTGCCTCTGATTAACCCAGAACTGTACAAATCCATAAGAGCCCAAGTCCAGGCATTTTCTCTGCTATGATGATAGCCACAAATCTTTTCAAGCAATTTCATAAACAAAAATGTGATTTATTTCTAAACTGTCACATTCCCACCAACAGTGCATAAGGGTTCCAATTTCTTTATACTTGACATTTATTTTAATAGTAGTGGTCCTACTGGGTGTGAGGTAGTATCTCAGATGTGATTCTATTTTGAATAGATTTTCTTACAGCTTTTGGTTCATGACAAAGTTGAGAAAATACAGCAATTTCCTATGTACAAAGAATCAGCCCTGACAGAGACATCCTGACACCTTCAGCAGACATCCTGACACCTTCGTAACTGATGAACCTATGTGAACACATCATCCCCAAAGTCCTTGCTTACGTTAGGGTTCATTCTTATTTCACATTTTACCAGTTTGAACAAATGACTCAAGACTTGTATCCACCATCAAGAGTACCATACAGCTGGGTGGTGGTGGCACTTGCCTTTAACCCAGAACCGGGCGACAGAGGCAGGCAAATATCTGTGAGTTTGAGGCCAGCCTGATCTACACAGAGCAAGTGCCACCAGGATAAGCTCCAACGCTACACAGAGAAACCCTGTCTCGACAAACAAAAAAACAAAACAAAAAAGAGTACCATACAGAGAGTGATCTCATGACCTTAAGAACTCTAACCATTCTACCATGTGAACTTTTTTTAAAAACATTTTTATGTTGTGTGTAAGACTTTTGCATGTACCATGTACGTGCCTGCTGAGACCAGAAGTTAGAAGGTTCTGAGCACCATGCGAGGGAACCAAACTCATTGTAAGAGCAGTGAGTGCTCTTATACGCTGAGCCATCTCCGCAGCCCGCCACCTCAATTTTGGAACCTGTAGAACCCAGGAACTCAGCCCTCCACCACTGAACCACACTGCCAGGCTCTAACTTACTGCTATCACTTTTTTGAGGACACCAATATCATACAACTGGAATGAGGAATGTAAGCCTTTCATTCAGTAATATCCCTCTACATCTTTTGTCATCTCCTTTTAGTACCAGTTATTCCATTGTACCACTTACCCTTTCTCCTACTGAAGCACACCTTTGCTGCTTCCAGGTTTTGGCAATTATAAATACGGCTGCTATGAGAACTCACATGCTGGTTTTTGTATGAGCATACTTCTAATTCCCCTGGGGAAATATAAGGGGCAAGATTACCAAAGACACTATGTTTATTTTGTTAAACACTGATCAGCTATCTTCCTGCCACCGTTTCATGAGTGATTGAGTTCTTGCCACTCCACAACCCTACCTGCGCTTGTTGTGTCTCAGCGTCTACAGTCACAACAGTGTGCTTCCTGCAGTTTGTACCCCTCCTGCCACGCTGCAGAGGGCTTCTCATGCACACATTTGCCTTTTCTGGTTGGTTGTTTTTGAGACAGGGTCTCACTATGTACTCCTGGTTAGCCTGGAACTTCCTATGTACATCAGGCTATCCAAAAGTGCGTCACTGCACACAGCTTTGCTATCTTTTTTGTTTGTTTTTTCTTTCTTTTTTTTCGAGACAGGGTTTCTCTGTATTGTTTTGGAGGCTCTCCTGGAACTCGCTTGGTAGTCCAGGCTGGCCTCGCACTCACAGAGATCCGCCTACCTCTGCCTCCCGAGTGCTGGGATTAAAGGCGTGTGCCACCAACACCCAGCCAGCTTTGCTATCTTCTAATCAAGTCAATTGTCTACTGTTTTATATCTCTTATTACATTTGTTTTTTTAATTGGGTGTGTACTCCTGCATGGAGGTCAGAGGAGAACTTGCAGGAATCAGTTGCCTCCTTCCACCTTGCGATTCCAGGACAGAAGAGTCCAGGTTGTTTTCATGTCTAGTTCCCCTATGATTAGTATCTTTTCCTACGTTTGTCGGCCTACAGCAGCCAATCACATCACACACTATTTTCAAGACATTCTAAAAACAAACCTGATCTCTTTTAAAATCTCTCTCTACACTCAGGAAAGGCCCTCCCTGTATCAATTTGAGAGGGCAGCTGACTGCACATACCGCTCAAAGGCAAGCTTGCCTTCTAGAGCAGCTAGCTGCCAGACCGAAGGGAGGCCAGGTAGTGACAGATACAATGATCCAGCTATCAGAAGAAAAGAACAAGCTCGCCCCCTGGTGGCAAGCAGAGACAATAGGAGAAAATATTAAAAAGGCACACACACAAAGGCAAAAAAGAAATATGTGCAGCCACCATGATGAACACATTTTATCCTGCCAGGGTCTGGATAACAGGAGCACGACAGATTAAAAAACAGTTCGTTCATCTGGACAGTTTAACACGTTCAGTCTTGCCTGATGTAGTGGTATATGTCTGCACCAGGGGCCGAGGCAGGGCTGGGAGTTCAAGACCAGCATTGGCAGCACAAAAAAGAAGTCAGTTGGTGGTAGCACAAGCCTTTAATCCCAGCACTCAGGAGGCAGAGGCAGGTGGATCTCTGTGAGTTCGAGGAAAGCCTGGTTTAGAGAGGGAGTCCCACGACAGCCAGGGCTATTACACAGAGAAACCCTGTCTTGAACCCCTCCCAGCAACCACCCACACACCCACACACCCACCCACACACACACACACACACAAGGTTCTGTTCAGAGGACTCTATCCTGTCACTAACTCCTAGCTGGAGCTGCTTCAGGAGTCATCTATCTTCCCATGAGGAGCAGAGGCAGCTGAGGAGGTTAAGTTTTAACTGCGAATGTCTTGTCTAGAGGAGGGGACGCTTAGGTTTTGTCTTCTTTGGCAAATCCAAGGCATACTATAACCACCTTCAACCTTCCTGTGGCACATAGCTCTGATCCTATCAATCTGTGGAAAGGTCTGACTGGAAAGGCAAGGAGCCCACACCGTGGTTACATAAGGCAGAGGGCGGCAGTCGTGACTGCCGCTGTTCGCTGTTCTTACCTCCTCAGGACCTCTGCTATGCAAATTAGAATGCTTTCTAATTTTCAAGCTCTTCTGATAGCTGATTCTTTGAGGACCCGTGGCTGCTAAATTTCCCAACTTCTCTTTGTCTCCCCAACCCCAAAAGACTATGGCTCTACAGTTTGCTGCTCCTGTTTTTCAGAGGTCCAGTTTAGAAATTAAGACCCCCATAATATGGGTGTCTTCACAGAATACACACAAAGGATTGTTTGCTAAAACACACACTTCCAGCCACTCCCAGCAGGTGACACTCTGGAGCAGATGGCACTGACTGACCTCCAAGGGCTCCTCTGGTCTCATAGAAGGGGTGCCAGTGTCAAGCTGTCTGCTGCTTGGAAGGGAGGGTGGGCCACACATTACCCAAATGTTACAGGTTGGACATTTTTCTGCTGTTCTTTGTGCAGCTGCTGGGCCCTATTTTTCAGCATCTCGGCCTTGGCCTCGTCCTTATCAACACCATCCCCCAGTTTGTACATGCGGCTGGCATTGGCACAAGCCCAGATGTGGCCCAGGTCACAGGCCTTCATTGAATATTTGCATGCCAGACCCATGTCCTTGGGAAAGCCAGGGGCACCCTGTAGAAACATGGCACTGAGGTTGAAGCAGCTGGCTGCATAGCCACCGTCACAGGCCCTGGTGTAGTAGTCCCTGGCCTTTCCCAGGTCAGGCTGGCCATCCTCATTGACCTGTCCATCGTGTGCCAGGAGTCCAACATTGTGACAGGATTCCACAGACTTCTTTCCTGGTTTCTCACAGGCCATCAGAAAGCAGGCAGATGCAGCCTTTAGGTCCTGAGTCAGGCCACCTACAAACAGAAAACAAAGAAAAAGTAAACTCAGGGCTGGGCAGATAGCTACTCTTGCCTAACAAGGTCAGAAGGCTTGGGTTCAATCCCCACCACCTCCTGCTACCCACCAGCCAGAGCTGAACCTATCTGTTTCTGTCCAAGGTTAGGGAACAATCCCTGAGTCAAGTCCTGTGAGCTAAAGTAACATGAAGGAAGGCATCCAGTGTGGTAGCCATGGACTCTCTGGTTCATGTGCTAGCTTACAGGGAAGCCAAGACAGGAAGAGACAAGTCACCTTAAGAGTACCAGGGACTACCAAATGGGGCTACAGTGAGAACAGAGCATTTCTAAAATAAGCAATTGAATGTTTCTTAATCTAAATATACAGTTGGCCCTACATATTTATGAGTTCTGCATATGCAGATTCCATTAGTTATGAACACTATTATAGCATTCAAACCAGACAGCAGCTGCAAATTTAACCAACCATGGACTAAAAACATTCAGGGAAAAAAACATGTCTGTGCTAAAAATGTATGGACTTTCCCCTGTCATTCCCAGAACAGTACATGGTATAACTGTTTCCATTAGTGTTTATACTGATTAGGTAGCACAAGCAGAAATGATCTGAAGTGAAGGAAGGATGTGTGGGTGTTTATGCCAATTCTCTATGCACAAGGATCTGGAGTACCTAAGGATGCTGATCCTACAAAGCACTTGGAAATAATCTTCCAGGGCAGACCAAAGCGGGGGAAAAAGGTAAAGTGTGTGTGGTACAAGTCTTTAGTCCCAGCATTTGGGAGGCAGAGGCAGGTGGATGCCTATGAGTTAAAGAGCTACCTAATGGAGAGACCCTATCACAAACAAAACAAACAAAGCCCCCCCCAAAAAAAGCTAAAAAAAGAAAGAAATAACATGGGAGCTGGGAATGGTGGTATATGCCTATAATGCACTGAGGAAGTAGAAGCAGGAGAATCCAAAGTTTGAGATCACCTAAGCTACATAATAAAAGTTTTTTCAAAAAAAGTAGCATTCAACCTTTTCTTATTTATTCAGTGTGGTGGCTTGAAAAAAAAAATATCCCCTCAAAAGATGTGGCACTGTTAGGTATGGCCTTTTGGAGTAGATGTGGTCTTATTGGAGAAAGTATGTCACTGTGGAGGCCTCATATATGCTCAAGTCACACCCAGTGAGACCACTTCCTGTTGTCTGAACGAGATGTAGAACTCTCAGTTACCTCTCCAGCACCATGCATGCAGCCATGTCCCAACAGTGATAATGGACTGAACATCTGAATTGTAAGCCACCTAATTAAATGGTGTCTCTTCACAGAAATAGGCATCCTAACTAAGGCAGAAATTGGTATCAGGGACTGGGGTATTGCTATGATAGGCTGGACCTTGTTTCCATTTGCAGTAATATGGACTTTGTGAATTTGGGTTGGGAAAGCAGTAGAATCCTTTAAGTGCTGCTTACTGGATCATACCAGTAGAAGGAAGACAGTGGTGCTAAGAGTTAAGTCGCGGGGGCCTGACTCAAGAGGCTTCAAAGGAGGAATATATTACTATATAACATACAGATTGTTCTCGTGATATTTTGGTGACAAATGTGACTGCTTTTTGATCTTGTCCAAAGAGTCTGCCTGAGTCATAAATGAAGAGATCAGGATTAATTCTCTTGGCAGAGGATATCTTGAAACATTCTAGTATTGACTGTGATACAGTTATTACTAGCACTCTTATAAAGATTTATAATGAAGAGGAGCAAACTGAGCAAGGAAAAATATTTAAGGAGAAAAGGAGCACCAGAAAGTAGAATGGAGCTAAGCCCTGTGTTCAAGAAGATAAACTAATTAAGAAATGGAATAAAGGGAATGGTGACCTCAGGACAAGATCCCACCCAGCTAACCTTTCAACTTGTGGAAAGGAATTAAAGAAAGTTTAGAGCTGGGTGTGGTGGTGCAAACCTTTAATCTCAGCACTGGGAAGGCAGAAGCCGGCAGATCTGAGTTTGAGGCCAGCCTGGTTTACAGATCCAATTTCAGGACAGTGAAGCTTAGGCAATGAAGGAAATCATCAAAACCAGAAAGTTGGTGAAGATGTAACTGAATGAAGGAGCCATTTCCAGCTCCAGCAAGCAGCAGAACTTGGCAACTTTGGCCACATGGCTCTGACTTTAGAGTTAAGGATGGAAGAAAGGGGTTATGGAATTTGCCTCTGCATCTAAGGAAAGCCACTGAGGCCAAGCTTGTGTCAAGGGTGTCCCTGAATGAAGGCCTAGAGAGGCTATTCATGAAGCTGTGAAATTGAAGCCTGGATTGCACTGGAGACCCCCAAGATGCTGGAGATGCCAGAGCCATGGGATACCTCCCGAAGTAAGCTGCTAATGGACTGGAACCAGCCCAAGAGAGAGAAGTGTGTTGCAGTCAACAAAGCTGAAAGGAGCTGGAGATCTGAAGAGAGTTTTGACATCAGACATGGAGATACAGAGTTTGGAGTTTGCCCAGAAGGTTTTTGGTCTTGCTTGGTCCAATATTTCCTCACTGTGCCTCCTTTCCCATGTTTTGGAATTGTAATGTATATCCTGTGACATTATATGTTGGAAGTATGTGATCTGCTTTTTGGTTCTGACTTACAGTTAAGGGAATGCATGAATCTCAGAAGACACTTGGAACTTTTTTTAACCTGTGAGTACAGGTGAGTGCCTACATGTATATCTGTGCATTAAATGCATGCACAGATATACCCTTATCTGTGCCCACAGAGGCCAGAAAAGAGCATCAGACCCCTTGCAATTAGGGCTACAGATAGTTATAACTGCCATGTAGGTGTTAGGAATGCAACCTAGGTTTCCTAGGAGAGCAGTCAGTATGAACCACTGAGCCATAGCTCCAATCATTTTTGGATTCTCTGTTGGGTCACTTACCCTGAAGAAAGCTAAAGGCAGATCATCAGGAGACTCAAGTACAACAGGGAGACATGGAGAGTTCAGTCACTGGGATCAAAGGTCCTTGACAATAGCTGACAGGAGCCAAGGCGTTTGTCATCAGGCCAGTGAGTAAGTCAACATCTAAATGGCAACTTCAATCACACCTCCCAACAACCGCAGTACTACTTCCCTTGCCAGTGTTCTAACCAAAGCATCCAGCTAAACTAACCCCGAATTCCTAACCTACAGAAGCAAAGAAGGAAACTTGTTATCTGGCAATACTTAGCATTACTTAAACTATAATGCCAATTAGGGCATGAGAAAAGATACAAGGGCATAATTACTCAGTTTTTATTCTGTGTTCAACACATCCTGATAGCTTTACTATATTTTATTTTTAAATTGTATTTATTTCAAGTATTTTGCCTGTGTAAATGTATGTCCACCATGTCTATACCTCGTGCCTGATATCAGCGGTTGAATCCCCTGAACTGGAGTTACAAATGTTTGAGAACCTGGGTCCTGGGTAGGAACAAGTGCTCTTAACAGCTGAGCCATCTCTACAGCTCACATACTGGTATCTTTACCTGAATTGTGCAGTAACTCCATTTTGTCCTAGTTTATCTAACTCCATCTAACTGTTCCCCAGCATGCTCCAGCAGCACATCCTGCCAAGCAGAATGTTCTCATGCAGCTTCTGGAGGTTCATTGTTTTACAACAGAAAACACATTGTTTTAACAAACTGACCCCCCTCCACACACACAGACATCGCACCCTGCCCTCCCACGCCTCCAATGTGATGTAATATAATTTGGACTTTAGAAAACCACCCTGCTTCAATCAGGTGGAGAGTTCTTTCTGGTGTGAGCCTATTCTCAGTTACTAGCAAATAAAGGACTCTTTTTTTTTTTTTAAAGATTTATTTATTTATTACGAACACAACACCCTGCCCCCATGTATGTCTACACATCAGAAGAGGGCACCAGATCTCATTACAGATGGTTGTGAACCACCATGTGGTTGCTGGGAATTGAACTCATGACCTCTGGAAGAGCAGTCAGTGCTCTTAACCTCTAAGCCATCTCTTCAGCCCAATAAAGGACACTTTATTGGCCTTTGTACTCTTGGTGGTCTATAATCTATTCAAGTGGTATTTCTTTTTTTTTCAATAATGAATGATCTTTTATTTATTATTTATTTTTATGTGTATGAATGTTTGCTTGCATGTAGACAAGTGTACTATATGCATGCAGTGCTCAAGCAGGCCAGAAGAGGGCATCATGTCTATTGGAACTGGATTTACAGATGGCTATGAGCCACTAAGTGGGTGCTGAGAACAGAACCTGGGTCCTTTGCAAGAACAGCAAGCATGCTTAACCACTGAACCATTCTCCCCAGCCCTTTAAGTGGTATTTCATACTTAACTATTTCTTTCATTTTCTTTTTCTTTTGGATTCTGAAGCAGGATCTCAATCTGTAACCCAACTATATTAAGTTCAGGCACATGAAGTTAAAAGTGACTGCTAAGGCCTAAATGAATGGGGTCATATGAAGGAACCAACAGGCAGCATTGGAACTCACAGAACACTGCTGGGTGGAAAGCAGAACCATGTCTAAGAGAGCCCTGGAAAGGTAGAACCCCAGGGACTACATGTCCTGAGGACCTCATAACTCTGCTTATTGCCTTCATGGTCATAAAATAAAAAACAAATAAATAGACACAGAAGGGAAACATCCAGGGTATAAGAATAGAACAGAGAAAGAACAGAGTAGAAGACGCAACAGAAAGGATAATCACCACATCCCTCATAAACTATGGGCTGTGACTCTCGGAGGGTTTCTAGCCCTCACTGGGCAGAGTCACTGGTACTTACAATAATAGTGATTGACTTTTTCCAAGCATTGCTGCTGGAGCAGATTAATGATTCAACCATCATCCTTAGAAAGAATTTAGACATGTAGATTGTTAGTAAAGGTTGGTTAGGATGTTTTCATTAATGACTTTGAGGTAGAAAACCCTGGAACAATTTAAAGTTTAGGAAGGCACACTTAAAATAGTTGAGTGAGGGACTCGTTGAGGTCAGAGAACAAAACAATGGCAGCCTGGCTATCACTGACTGACCTACCTTTCTTGCTAGGATAGGCTGGTGATCAAAGATGATGATTAATTCCTTGTAACCATGTCTGCTCGCAACTTCCTGATACGATTTAAGAAAAAACTGTTGATAAGTAGATATGTACCCTAAGGACTTAAAGTAGAAATGACTGTTTTTCATATATGAAAGTTTAGATTTTTGATTCTTTTAAGATTTTCTTTATAAGATTACCCTTTGAGATAAATAATAAAATGACTGATCCTTTCTTTTCTTTTCTTTTTTTTTTTTTTTTTTGCTTTTGCTTTTTTGAGATATGGCTTCTCTGTGTAACAGTCCTGGCTGTCCTGGAAATAGCTCTGTAGACCAGGCTAGCTTCAAACTCACAGAGATCCACCTGCCTCTGTCTCCCGAGTGCCAGGACTAAAGGAGTGCATAAATATCAATCAGCTTTGATCCTTTCTTTGTAACTGCAAAATGCAGCCTGCAAGTAAAAGAGCTGGCTGAGAAAAGTACTTTACTTGTTTACACTTTATTAATCTATAACATGATTGGACATGAATGTATGTGTGTTCTTGAGATAATTTGTTTTTCACCTGTAATACATAAAGTAAAATGCTTAATCATGAAAGGGAAATGGGAAATACTTTTTTTTTGGTTTTTTGAGCCAGGGTTTTTCTGTATTGTTTTGGTGGCTGTCTTGGAACTCGCTCTTGTAGACCAGGCTGGTCTCAAACTCACAGAGATCCACCAGCCTCTGCCTCCCAAGTGATGGGATTAAAGGCGTGTGCCACCAACGCCCGGCTGGGAAATACATTTTTTTTTTACTTGTATTCATCATAATCATTCACTTAAAAATAGAATGCAACCATACTGTAATTTTTATATTGCTTGAAAGATTTTGCTGGGGAATATTAGATGCAAGGGAGATAAATAAAGAGACACAGAAGGGAAACAAGGTAGAAGAACAGAACAGAGAAAGAACAGAGTAGGACAAGCAGCAGAAAGAATAATAAAATGAAGAACTAAGCTTTGGCCCTCAGAAAAGTCCTCGTGTGTCTGTTTGTCTGTCCAGTAGTTTGACTGCTCTGCATCTCCTCTTCAGTTTCTCTGACCGGCTGAAGACTTGCCATTCTTCAGCACCCTAGGTGAGATCTTGACATGTTGAAGAGGTGTGCGTTGTTAAAAGTCTAAAGTGTCTTAGTTAGGGTTTCTATTGCTGTGATTAAACACCAAGACCAAAAGCAAACTGGGGAGAAAGGGGCTCATTTGGCTTATTCCTCTGCATCCATAGTCCAACCCTGGCTTTCTTGGCTTCCTTCCTTTCTCTTTTCTTCTTCTTGAGACAGGGTTTCTCTGTGTAACAGTCCTGGTTGTCCTAGAACTCATTTTGTAGACCATAGCCTGCTTTCTTATAGAACCCAGAACCATGACCTGCCCAGGGGTGGCCCCATCTACAATGGGCTGGGTCCTTCCCCATCAATCACTAATTAAGAAAATGTGCTACAGGGTGGCCTACAGTCTGATCTTATGGAGGCATTTTCTCAGTTGGGGCTCCCTTCTTTCAAATGACTCCAGTTAGAACAGCCAACCAAACTACAGCAAAACCCTATCCTAAAAAAGAGTTTGAGCCAGACTTGGGGCCACATGCCTTTAAGCCCAGCACTCAGGAGGTAGAGGCAGGCAGATCTCTGTGAGTTTGAGACCAACCTGGTCTACAGAATGAGTTCCAGGACAGACAGGGCTACACAGAGAGACCCTGTCTTAAAAAATTATTTTAATCATGAGCCAGAGAAATGACTTGTTGCTGCCCAGTCTGACGACCTGGGTTCAATTTCCAGAACCTACATGGTTGAATTAGAGAACCAACTTCTGCTACTTACTTGTCCTCTGATATTCACATGTAGGACATGGTACACATCTGCCCCCATACCAAAATAAGTAAGTAAATGTAATTTTTACAAAAACATTTTAAGAAAAAGAAAAAAAATAAACTAGCTCAAGGTTCTACAATGTGCAAACAGTAACCTCGCAGGCTGCTTCACTTAATGGGCCATGCTCTTCCGCCTCTCTGCTAACCCTGCCTGTGCTCTGTCTGTGAGGTCTGCGAAGATGTGCATCTTACCTTTTCCAGTCACGTAATAGGCCCCCAGCTTATAGCAGCTGTCACTGTGCCCATTGTCCTCACAGTTGAACTTCAGCACCTTGGCAGCTTCATCAAAATTCTTCTGGATTCCCTCCAGATAGTCCACCAGCCTATAGCAACCTAGGAAAGGGAAGACACGCTCATACCAGCAGCCACTGTTCAAGGGGACCAGGCACAGTCAGAACGAATTTAGCTCTTACTCCTCAAGTGTGGCAGTGTCCAGCCCCTCCTACAAGGGACCATGTCTCCTGATGGCCAGCAATGTATGGATCAGGAAAACTGGCCCCAGCAACGGCTCAACCACTGCCAGACCTTGTGATTCCTTTCAGCCTGGCCCAAACACTAGCTGACTTCCATGACTGACACCCTGCTAGTTTTGGAACCTCTCTGCAAGTTCTATAATGAAAATACCAAAACCCAAAAGGGTTTGTGGGCTCCTGTTGCAGCAGCAAACCAGAAATGACGTGGCCCTTCCTCCATGGCCCAGTTGGACACCTGAAGCCCAGAAAATAGAAATAGAAACTACCACAGCAGAGGGGAATGGGTTTCCCTTCTGGGGGTCCCAGTAATAGTCAGCCTCTTAGCATTCTCAGCTATATCAAAGACCATTTCCTTCACTTTCAGTCAACAAAGAGTTAAACATATATGCACTATCTTACGTATGAAAGTATGCCAGATACACAACTGCTGGGAATACTATCCTTTGCCTCCTAAAATTTATACTGTAAGCCAGGTATGCAAATTCAGGTCTATAATCCCAGCACTCACAAGGTAGAGCCAAGATAAGGAGTTCAAGGTCCTCTACAACCTAGTCAAAGAGTACATACAGCTCAGGCTATGTAAGGACAAAATACAATTCAATATATAAGTGTTAAAACTGAAATAAGACAGGATGATGAGAAAGTTTATTGTGCATCTTAGGAGAATGGTGAATAGTTTGGGCCACTAAGGACTAGGATAGCTGAGCTGAGACAATGAGGATCTGGAGGTGTTGCTCCACAGCAGCAGAGCACAAGGCCCTGGGTGGTTTCATCCCAGGACGTCAAGAAAGACAAGGAAATGGAAAGGGACCAGAGAGTCCAAGAAAAAGAGCCTGAAGAAGAAAAAACCTTTCACAGATATGGTAGGATGTGCCTGGATTAAAGAGGTATGGGCAGGAAGGGAAGAACCTATAAAACATCAGTGCTGGGGACCGAACCCAAGCCTCTCTCCACAGTGGGCACACTATAAACTGCAAACCACAGAAGAGCTCTTAAGAAGGAAGTGGGGCTGGAGCTGTGTGTAGCTCAGTGGCACAGTGCTCACCCAGATTGTGGGAGGCCCTCTGTTCAATTCTTATCCCCACAATAAAAACAGGACAAGTAAGCTACCAACTGAGAAATCTCCTACAAAGAAGGCAAATGATAAGATTTCCTTTGTCTTTGTAAAAAGCATTACACCGGTGCATATGTTTGCACCCACCTGGATGACTACAGAGGGAGCTAACTGGTGAAAGGACAGTCCCACACTGAAAATAATAATACATATATAATAGTAATACTTATATAGCATAGGCTGGACCAGAACTCACTGTGTAGCTGAGGCTGTCCCTGACCCCCCTACCTCCACCTCCTAGAGTGAGAGGATTAGAGGCCAGGCATGTGCTGCCATACCCAGTCTAAGCCAAGAATTGAACTCAGTCCTCACGTATCGAGGGGAATGCTTTGAACTCAGCCCTCTCGTATGCAAGGTGAATACTACCAACTGACCTATACCCCCAGCCCTCAGCCCGTCCTCACGTGGCTGTCCACTCACTGCTCAGTCTACTCTTCACATAACACACATCGACTACCATGAGCGCCTCAAACATGTCTAAGAATCAGGTCTAGCCGGGTGTTGGTGGCACACACCATTAATCCCAGCACTCGGGAGTCAGAGGCAGGCGGATCTCTGTGAGTTCGAGGCCAGCCTGGTCTATGAAGTGAGTTCCAGGACAGCCTCCAAAGCTACAGAGAAACCCTGTCTCAAAAAAACCAAAAAAAAAAAAAAAAAAAAAAAAAAAAAGAATCAGGTCTAAATTCCTTACTTAAAAGGGCAGAGATACCGCAGAGACAGGGCTCCCTGTATAAACTTAAGTCTGGAACTAGGGGTAGAGCGCAGTGGTGAACAACTTGCACTCAGCAAGAAAACTCAGAAGTCCTGGGTTTGAGCTCAAGAGTGCAAAATAAAATTATTTGACTTAATTCTGACAGATCCTGACTCTGACCTTCCAAAGGAGAACTTTGTTATCCCATCTCTCCTCCATTAACTACAAACTCACCCCTGTAGACCAGACTCAGCCATCGTGCTCCTCAGGAACCCCGGAGGGTCAAGTCCTCTGAAATTTCTCTTCAGTTGGAACATGAGCTAGCTACCAAAGAATAATCCTGGCTTCCTCATCCACACAGTCGCTCTGTAGTGGACTAATTTCAAGAAATAGCAAGTCATTTCCTGGAAACTAGACTGCAAGCTACTGGAAGGGAGGGCCAGCGCCACTTTCTTTCTCTTTCCTTAAATAAATAAAGCACTAGGAAGCAACTCATAGGCACTGGCTGCTCCTCTGGGCACCAACCACCCATACACTCAATCTCACTGCACACAAGGGGCCATTTCTGCCTCAGCCCTCTTTTTTTTTTTTTTTTTTTTTTTTTGTTTTTCGAGACAGGGTTTCTCTGTGGCTTTGGAGGCTGTCCTGGAACTCGCTCTGTAGACCAGGCTGGCCTCGAACTCACAGAGATCCACCTGCCTCTGCCTCCCAAGTGCTGGGATTAAAGGTGTGCACCACCAGCGCCCAGCTTCAGCCCTCTTCAATAGCTCTTACCTCTGCCTGACAAAGACCTACAATGATTTGTCTCCTACTTTAAAACTTGATTCAAAAGTCACTTCACTCAGCAGGCGTTGGTGGCGCACGCCTTTAATCCCAGCACTTGGGAGGCAGAGGCAGGTGGATCTCTGTGAGTTCGAGGCCAGCCTGGTCTACAAGAGCTAGTTCCAGGACAGCCTCCAAAGCCACAGAGAAACCCTGTCTTGAAAAAAAAAAAAGTCACTTCACTCAGTTCTTTTATCTTATTTCACTTTTTAAAAAAAGATTTAGTGTTGTGCCAGGCAGTAGTGGCCCAGCACTGGGTGGGCAGAGGCAAGCAGATATCTGAGATTTACAGAGGAGTTCCAGGTCCGCCAGGGCTACACAGAGAAACCCTGTCTTGAAAAAAAAAGATTTAATTATGTGAACCGGCCTGGAAACACAGAAGGCAAAGGAAAGCGGCTCTCTAAGTCTACAGTCAGCGTGAACTACACTGCTGTCAAGGGTACATGAGACTTGATCTCGAAAAAAAATAACTTTATTATTTTAAATTATGTATACGTGTGTATATGTGCAAGTGGTGTGGGGCCCGCGGAGGCCTTCGATCTCCTGGAACTGTAGTTACAGACGCTTGTAAACGGCCCCAGGAGGGCAAAAGCAATATGTGCTTTTTAAGCAGTATGCGCTCTTAACCGCTCCCGATCACTACAGTCTCCCTCCTTTTTTTGCGCCCAGGCTGGTCCTTAACCCCTGAGTTCTAAGTAATCTTCGTGCCTCAACCTCCCGAATGCTAGAATTACAGGTGACACCAAACCTGACTCGCATTTACTACTATCACAGATTTCACTTATTTCCTTTGCTCGTTAACCGATTCCCTTAAAGGCACGTAAGAGGAGGGTCCTTACAACCTAAACGGGACCACTAGGGGTGTAGCTGAGGGCCCCGCCCCTCCACAGAAGCCCCGCCCCAGGTACGTCCCCAAGTCCCCGCCCACAGTCCGCTAGAGTCCCTGACCGCGTCCTCAGGCGTCCTCGGCCCGCCACGTGACCGCATCCTAGCCAAAAGCTCGCGCGCCTCCTCTGCGTCCCCGGCTGCGCGGGCGGCACTCACCGTCCGGGTCCTTCTCGCGGTAGCACTGGTAGTGGCACTCCACCTTCATGTTCTCCAGGAAAGACTTCACCTGTTCCTCATCCTGGAAGTCAACCAAGCCCGCCATGGCTCTGACTCCCACAAACCGAGCGCTGGTCCCGCCCCTCGATCACGTGAGCCAGGTCAGGGGCGGGGCTTGCGTGACGCCTTGTTCCGGTACTGGGAATGACTGCCGCTTCCCAGCAGCCTTTGCGGCGTCTCCCCCCCCCCCCCTTTTAGTCTTTGTGGAAGGCTCCCTGCGGGGATTCTACCTCAGCCAATCTGATGTAATTCTGCCCCTTAGTGGTTTTCTCCCTGCAGTTCCAGTTCTAAAGCCGAGACAGCTGGGAGCTCCGGTCCCTGCCTTCAGAGCATTGGTCTGGAGCTCACCGACAAGGGCTCCTAGCACTGCAAAATACAGAACTTGAAATTAATCGGGAAAGCATTTGTTTTGTCAGGCAGCAAACATTTTGATTATCTTGTGTGTCCTATATAAGGCTGGAACAACTAACAAAAATTAAGTCTCTGCTAGTGCCACAGAATGCATTTATCTCTATATTCTTTCTAGACCCATCAAGATCAATCGTTGGTGGCGCACGCCTTTAATCCCAGCACTCGGGAGGCAGAGGCAGGCTGGTCTCTCTGAGTTCGAGGCCAGTCTGGTCTACAAAGAGAGTTCCAGGACAGCCTCCAAAACAATACAGAGAAACCCTGTCTCGAAAAACCAAAAAAAAAAAAAAAAAAAAAAAAAAGATCACCAACGTTAATGATCTGGGATAAGAATGTGGCCCCGAGTGATGATTAGAACACAGCAGTGGCAGGGATGGTAGCTAGTTCCGAATGAGGAATATTAAATCCGGGCCTAACAGCTTTACTAGTTAAATATTTACGGTGAAAATATACCTATAACTTCCCCATCTGCAGACCGGGAATGGGTTCAGAGAGGTTAAGTAACTTGTCCAGAGCCATACAGCGAAAGAGTTGGTGTACAACACTCTTTAAGACAAAGAATGAAGCCAGGCGTTGGTGGCGCACTCCTTTAATCCCAGCACTCGGGAGGCAGAGACAGGTGGATCACTGTGAGTTCGAGAACAGCCTGGTCTACCGAGTGAGTTCCAGGACAACCTCCAAAACAGTACAGAGAAACCCTGTCTCGAAAAACACCAAAAAAAAAAAAAAAAAAAAAAAAGAATGAAGGAATGAAGGTATAGCTCGGCGGTAGAGGGCTTACCTAACAGGGGTCCTGGGTTCAATCCCCCCAATACCAAACAAAAAGAGAGGTGTGTCAAGATGGGCGGGAGGAGTTTAATCTGTTTTTGTTGTTGTGTTTTTTTTTTTTAAATCATACTTAAAATCTTTACTTTCACAAACCTGAAACAAACTATCCAAAAACAGTTCCCTTTTATTTGTTTGGTTTTTTGTTTGTTTTTCTAGATCCTTTCGTGGAACACAATCCATGTTTTCCTCTCTCTCCTATATAGCAAGGCTTCACCACTAACTCCTTTTAATGGCAGATGAGGATCAACTTACCTCAGTTAGTACATGTCTTTGGAAAGTCCTGATTTGTTGATTTAGGGGCTTTTTGTTTTGTTTGTTTGGGGATTTTTTTGTTTGGTTGTTTTTTGTTTGTTTTTCGGGACAGGTTTCTCTGTGTAGCTTTGTAGACCAGGCTGCCTTTGAACTCACAGAAATCCAGCTGTCTCTGCCTCCCAAGTGCTGGGATTCAAGACATGCACCACCATTGCCTGGCTGCAACATTCCACTTTTGCATATGGTTTCTTTTGTTGTTTTCTCTTGGCATAGAATCTCACTGTGTAGCTCAGGACCCCCTTTAACTTGAGACAATCCTCCTGCTTCAGCCTACTGAGTACTGTTACAGATATAAGCTACCACATCCAGCTACCCATATTCTTCTTTTTTTTATATATACCTGGCCACTAGAAGGAATCCTCAGAAAACATGCCCCGGGATGGGAAAGAGTGCCCTTTGGCTGTGAGACTCCCTCTTTAGCTTGACCTTCAAGGTCCTGTGAAATCTTATCCTGTCCTCTTAATAAAGTTTGAAAAATACAACTGCTACACCAACCCAAAATAGATCTAGAAGCTTCTTCCTCAATGTTTCATATTATTTGATATATTTTGTATAATACGTTATGAAAGGACCAGCTTTGGAGGGCAGACAGATCTTAGTTGAGACTCCCGCCCTGAGGATGGAGCTCAGTGGTATAGCTTTTGTCTATCAGGTTCAAGGTCTTAGGTTCAATTCCCAGTACAAGGGGGGAGGGCACGGGGAGAAGAAGAGCCAATGAGATGGTGTGGCACAAACTCCCCTCCAACCACAAGTTTATAAATGTAAACCATTTAAAAATTTTTTCCTATCTTTGTCCAAAAGCTAAGTGTAGAGGCTGGAGGATCAGAAGTTCAAAATCATCTTGTTTTTATTTTTCTTCAGGGTCATCCTTGACTAAGTTGAAGCCAACCTGAGCTATGTAGTAAGAGCCTGTCTCGAAAAACAGGAACAACAACAAACAAATAAATCCAATTGGGCCTCATTCCTATTCTGTAAACACAAATCTATTTCCATCTGTCAATGCAACTGAAAGGTCTGTGCATGCCACGTGATGTGCATGGTGCCTAGTTCAGGTAATGACTGCTGCAGAAATGACTGCTGTTGTCTCCCCCAGATTGAGTTCTATGTCTCTGATGCTGGATCAAAAATAGAGGAACGGTTGTGGTATAACTCAGTGGTAGGTAATTTACCTGGTATGTTCAAGGCCCTAGGCTGAATCACTAACACTATGAGATAATAAAATAAGAATAGAGCAGGGTTCAGTGAGGATGCTCCAGATAATTAAAGTCAAGGACTGGCCACAAGTACTACTTTTTACTTAGCCGTGTTTATGGCGTTAACTGCAGTGGAATGAGACCAGCTGGGCAGTAGAGGGCAGTAGAGGGTTGGTTAAAAACAGAGGCACCACCAGGACAAGTACAAACTCACACAATCTAGTTTTTGTTTGCTTTTTTGTTTTTGTTTTTGAGATAGGGTTTCAATGTGTAGCCCTGACTGTCCTAGAACTCACTCTATAGACCTAGTTGGCCTGCACTGCAGAGATCCACCTGCCTCTGCCTACTCAGTGCTAGGATCAAAAACGTGCCACAAATTTTTAGAAGGAAATGTAATATCTTTAAAAGAACAATAAGATGCTGCTTCATTTTTCTTTGAGACAGGATTTTCCTGTAGTGCTTTAGAACCTGTCCTGGAACTCACTCTGTAGATCATGTGGCCTTGAATTCACAGAGACCAACATGCTTCTGCCTCCTGAGTGCTGGGGAGTAAAGGTGTGTGCCACCACAGCCCAGCAATCCTCTGTATTCTTACAAATGTTCATGTTCACTTTGTAAATGTCTCATTGCTCGATGAATACATGGATCTGTGTTTATCACAAATTAGTCTCTTGTTTTCCACCTAATAGCCCTTTTCTCCACGTGTGATATACTGGTGATGGAAGCAGGGGAATCGGGCTCATGGCCGTCCTTGGATAGCTGAGACCCTATCTAAAAATCATGTGACTTTCATAAGCAGACAAAATAGTAAGAGCACTCATTAGAAACATGTCATCTGGATTGGAGAGATGGTTCAGTGGTTAAGGACAATTGTGGCTCAACCATGAGGCGCTAAGCTCATATCCCAGCTCAGCTCACAAACACCTGTAACTCTAGCTCCATGGGTCTTAGTGCCCTCTCCTGACCTCTCAGGGCACTGCCACTGGTGTGCATCCATTCACAGACATGTACAAGCATACAAGAAATTAAAAGAATAGATTAATCCTTCTTAAAATGCCATCTATAGGCATATTCAGTCATTTTCTTTAATGTGTGTGGATGTTTTGTTTACAAGTATGTCTGTGCACCACTGGTATACCCAGAAGAGAGTCTCGGATTCCCTAGACAAGGAGTTGCAGCCTGTTGTAGGTCACCACATGGGTGCTGGGAATCAAACCAGGGTCCTCTGGAAGAGCAGCTAGAGCTCTTAACCACTGAACCATCTCTCCAGGTCCCATATTTATTCTTCCGAGCTGTTTCAGGAGAAGCATTGATATCTGCTTTCTGCTAATGTCCTAGTTAGGGTTTCGGTTGCTATGATTAAACACCACAACAAAAAGCAACTTGAGGAGGAAAAGGTTTAGTTGGTTTAGTAGGCTTCCACATCCAGAGTCCATCACTGAAGGAGTCAGGCAGGGACTCAAATAGGATGGCAAACTGGAGGCAGGAGCTGGTGCAGAGGCAATGGAAGGGTGCTGCTTCCTGGCTCGCTCAACATGGCTTTCTCTACCTGCTTTCTTACCTAATAGGCCAGGGATGACCCCATGCACAACAGTCTGTGTCCTCCCATATTAGTCACTAATTTAAAAAATGCTCTACAGGCTTGCTTACAGCCCAGTCTTATAGATGCATTTTCTCTGTTGGGGTTCCCTCTTCTCAGATGACTCTAACCCAATAGTTCTGAGCCTGTGAGTCATAGCCCCCTTGGGGTGGGATGGCCCTTTCACAGGCGTCACCTAAGACCATGGGAAAACACAGATATTTGCATTATGATTCATAACAGTAGCAACATTACAGTCATACAGTGGCAATGAAAAAAATGTATGGTTGGGGGTCACCACAACATGAGGAACTGTGTTAAAGGGTCACAGCATTAGGAAGGTTGGGAACCACTGCTCTAGCCTCTGTCAAATTGACATAAAATTAGCCAGCACAGCTTGAGTGTGTTATTTTGTTTGTTTGTTTGTTTTGGTTTTTGAGACAGTTTCATTTATCTTAGACTGGCCTCAAACTCAAAGATTCTCCTCCAGTCTCTGCCTCTGGAGTGTGTCCCCATGCCGGGGTATGTGAGGTTGTATATCTAACCCAGGCCTTCATGCAAATAAGACAAGCACTGTAGCTGCCCTTCTTGTCTGTTTATTTATTGATTCTTTCAGGTTATTGCAAAAGGAGTTAACACTAGTCCGAGTACATTATGCAAGCTATGAGGTTTTTAAACTTGTGACAAGGTACAGAAGGGAAATTGTAGTCATTGCAAGGGAATCTTCACAGACTCCAGAGAGCCATAAGCACTTGGAAACTCATGAA